ACCCCCCCCCCCCGTTGCAAAATGTCCAAAGGGGGGAAAATGATTCCGCCGAGCCGCAAACAAATTTCCCCACTCCAAAAATAAAAATTAAGCAGCCCAGGAGAAGGTTGTGATTTTTAATTTATGGTGGGTCGCCCGCTTGGGTGGGTGCCTCGGAAATGGGGGACACGTCTCAGGCGGCTGAAGCCCATCCCGGGGCCTTGCATTTCCCCCCTTTTAAACCCCCCTCCCCCCAAAAAATCTTCCCTCTAATAGTGCTGTTTGATAAAGTGGAGAGGTTGGTGCTTTGGGGAGGGAGCGATCTCCTGGTTTTATCTCTTTGGAAGAGCCATGTGGGAGAGAGGCAGGGATCCGGTCAGCCATGTTTATGTACAGGGGTTGTTTGTTTTAATTGGAGAGGGGAGCCTTTCTGATTAATGTTTTGCCCCCCCTTTTTTGGGCATGTGCTTGTGTTTGTGTGTGTGTGACTGCTCTCCAGCGAAACCCCCAAGTTTGCTGCTGTCCACGTGTTCCTTGGTGGAGACGGCTGTGTTCTTCTCTCTCTCTCTCTCTGGTTCTCTGCTGCCATGTTTTGGTGCATGGGGGAGCCTGGACAAGACGGGCGCAGAATCCCGAGCTATCCGAGCAGATGGGGATGTGGGGGGCCAGGAGACTGGAGGGGTGGCGGGAGGAGGCCCCGACTCCAAACAGGAGTCTGGTGTGACCCCTGAAAGAGTCTCACCCGCCAAGCGTCACCACCAACACCACCGCCTCCGGCCACTTTGGGAAGCCATCATGGCGTCTCCTGGCTGGCAAAGGATTCTGGGACGTGTAGTCCCCGGAGAAAGGCTTTTGCATTTACAGTAGAAAAAAATACATCTCTGTCTTGTTGTGTGGATCTTGAACTTTTCTCTCTTCCACCCTTGCCCATCTGACCTAGGAAGGATGCCTGACGCATGGGGAATGGGGTGGGGGGAGAGACCAAGTCAAAATTAAAAAGGGAGGCTCTGGAAGCTAAATTCGACCTGCGAAAATGGGGGATTTGAAGGAATGTTTTCTGGAAGCCGAGGTGGGGGTACCACTCTGCAGGGGTGGGCGGCAAGTTTGTGGGCTGCCCCCCCCCACACACAGTGTAACCCTCCCATTCCCCAAAAATCTAGCGCATATGCGCTGCTGAGAAAGTGAGATTTTTTGGTGGGAGGGAGGGTTGTTACAGTATTAAATCCCAATTGTAAAACTCATGGCCTTTTTGGCTCCGGCTGGACTCTGAGCCCCATCAGCCCTGGCTTGCTTGAGGATGATGGGAGTTGTGATCCCAAGAGTTACTCCAAGAGCCGCCTCCTCTTTTTAATTCCTTCTTAGTTGGCCTTCCCTCCTCCAAAATAAATCGATCAGACCCTCCAAAACCTTTTCCATAATAGATACAGAATGTATTTACAGAATGCCAGATTTATAGAAAGCAGGGTGTGTGTGTTTTGCTGGGGGAAGCAACAACATTTCAAGAGAAAAGTCATGATATCTTTTTAGATTTTTATTTTTAAATGACTGCTCTAAAGGCTGTTAGTTTTATTCTACTTTTTTAAAAAAATTCATGGGAAGCAAGAATGGTCGAACTTATTTATTTATTTATTTATTTATATCCCGCCTATCTGGTCAAATGACCACTCTAGGTGGCTTAGAAGCCTTGTACAGTACTCTGTGCATGTGTGAAAGGGCTGTTTCCTTGTTTTATTTGATTTATGTCTATAGTATACTGCGTTGCACAAACACCGCAATCTACACGTCCACTGCGTTGCACAAACACCGCAATCTACACATCCTATGAATAAATAAATAAATAAAATGAAATAAAAAGACAGGCCTGCCTAATGAATGAATAAATAAATAAATAAATGAAATGAAATGAAATGAAATGAAATGAAATAAAAAGACAGGCCTGCTAGACAGAACTCAGGCAGATGCCTTTAATGCATGCTACAATGCTCAACACATTTACTCGACCGTAAAACCTGTGGAGGCAACGTGGTGGTGGCCGCCTAGCATGGAAATATTTTTCCATGGGTTTTCTCCCTCTCAGCTTGCTCGAATCAGGACGGAGAGGAAAACAGATTCCAAATGTAAATTTATTTGCTCTTTCTTTACGGCCACATTTGCCTGGAAGAACTTGGACTTTGCAAACGTTGGCTTTCCAAAAGCCGTTTTGGGGCAGGTTTCCAAACCGGGTTTAAAATACTGAAATGGTTACTAAAGCAGGAAACCCAAATTCTAAGCTGGCTTTTACATTTGAAACACCTGCTTTATTCGACCATGGAACTGGGGAGAATAAATAGTACTACATTTATTTACAGTGTTTAGGCTTGCTTTGTGGTAGGACGTTTCAGCTGGCCTGCGTCAGGATTCAACCCTCCTTCCTGCTCACCCTGATGTCTCCAAGTGGCGCAGCTGGTTCGGCCACATTTTTAGTCCCCACGAGGCTGGATTAGGCCACGCTCTGTGGCACTCACCTGATCCCTGTGAGGGTTGGATGCTCTTTTTGGGAGCAAAGATAAGGTGGTTTGGGGTTTCAGTGAGTTGTAGGCCAGAAATCCGCCAAAACATCCCTTTTCTGATCTTTAAAAATGGCCCTGGATTATTTGCTATATTATCCAAGCCACTTTCCAACAGGAAAGAAAGCCCCCAGGGTTGAGTTTGCAAGAGCCAAGTTGGACAGCTTAAAAACAGGACCTTATGAAAAACGCTCATTCACAGGGTTGCCGTGAATTGGAGGCGACGAGATGGCTGGGGCAGTGCAGACATGAAACAAGGGATAGTGCTGGAAGATGAGACCCTCAGGGGTAAAGGGCATTTTCTTTGGCTCCTTCTGGGTGTAGGCACGATGGTCTGGTGCGGTCCCAGGGGCAGCTCCGGCCTGAAAGCTCTCTCTTTTTTTTGCAAGAGCCAAGTTGGGCAGCTTAAAAACAGGACCTTATGAAAAACGCTCATTCACAGGGTTGCCGTGAATTGGAGGTGACGAGATGGCTGGGGCAGTGCAGACATGAAACAAGGGATAGTGCTGGAAGATGAGACCCTCAGGGGTAAAGGGCATTTTGGAGATTGCTCCTTTATTGAGTTGCCATAAGTAGGAGGTGACTTGACAGCACATAACAATGACAGCTAAATCGAATAAGTTTCAAAACTGGGCCATCGGATGTCTTGCGATGTGGGGATCTGAAATCTAAAATCGGTGTTAACCCTTGGGTGGGTGGGTTTGACATAGGATTCACCGTTTTGAAGAAAAAAATCTTTTAAAAACTGGTTGCAAATAAGAAAGGGGATAGAACCAGCGGAGAGAGGAAAATTACAGTCCAGGAGCTCCCTGGAGACATGTCCAGGCTCCACATTTGGGGGACAGACCGGCCTCTGGGTTTTTTTGGGGGGTTTTCTGGACTTGGTCTCCCTGAAATGTCTTCTCAGTGCCTTTTGCCTCCGGGCGAAAGGGCTTTCCAGACCTGACTCCTTTCTTGCCCCTTTTCTAGGTTAAGGAGCTGGTTCTGGATAATTGCCGCTCGGACGATGGAAAAGTGGTGGGTCTCTCGTCGGACTTCGAAAACCTTGAATTCCTCAGCATGATCAACGTCAACCTCCTCTCCATCTCGAACCTTCCGAAACTCACCAAACTTCGGAAGGTGAGCGGCTTTTGACTGCAGGCCAACCTTGTCCGGGGGTTGTAAGATTTTCTTCGGAGGTGGGTGACGGTGTTTTGGAACCCTGTGAAGCGCCACCGAGATTTGGATTTTCTCTTTTCCTCCTTTTGTCTGCCTGTCTCGGGCTGGGGAAGAGAGGGAGGAAAACCTCACCATCTAAACTGGGGTTTCTGTCCCCCCCCTTCTTCTTCTGCAGCTGGAGCTGAGTGACAATCGTATCTCGGGCGGGTTGGAGGTCCTGGCGGAGAAAACCTCAAACCTGACACACTTGAACCTCAGCGGGAACAAAATCAAAGATATCAACACACTGGAACCTCTGGTGAGGAGCTGGGGCTGTGGGGTTTTTTTTGTCCAGAGCCGAGAGGGGACAGGATTTGGATTTCTCAAAAAGGAGAACCAGATGGCGAAAAATATTTCAGGCTTTCTGCCTTAATGTGTTCTAAGCGCTGGCGTGACGCGATTTGGCCCACAGACGTAAAAAGGGAAGGATCGTTGCTCCAGCAGAGGCTTTGGGTTAAAAGCTTGCAAGCTTCCGCATCCCACAGAGTTCTTTGCCCCTGGCCTCCCAGAATCTTTTTGCTATCTTGCCAGATTAAGAGCTCTGTGGAGGTCAGAAGCGTGCGTGTTTTATGGACTTCTGGCTCATTGTTGTAAAGGGTTGGCCCTTGGGGTTTTTTTTGTTCATGCAGATCCAAACAGCTGCTTTCTCTTTTTTGGGGGGTGGGTTTAAATTTTAAACGAGAGATAACGAGGGAAAAAGACAAGACCAGTTTGTTCCAATCTCCTTCCTGTAAGCTAGGTTGCTTTTATAGGTACGAGAAGGGATATCTGAAATGTGATATATGGAGCTAAATCCACCTGAGTTGCAGCCTATTGACTGCATCGGAATCTCATGATTTATAGTGGTGCCTCGCTAGACAGTTACCCCGCATAACAGTTTTTTCGCTAGACATTGACTTTTTGCGATCGCTATAGTAATTCGCAAAACAGTGATTCCTATGGGGGAATTTCGCTGGACAATGTTTGGTCCCTGCTTTGCAAACCGATTTTCACTAGACGACGATTTTGACAGCTCCTTCTGCACTCGAAAAACAGGTGTTTTCCGGACCTAAGCTTCGCAAGACAGCGATTTAAACAGCTGATTGCCAGTTCGCAAAGCAGCTTTCCTATGGATGATCTTCGCTAGACAACGACGATTCTTCCCCATTGGAATGCATTAAACAGGTTTCAATACATTCCAATGGGGAAATGCTTTTCGCTAGACAATGATTTTGTTAAACAGTGATTTCAGTGGAATGGATTATCATCGTCTAGCGAGGCACCACTGTATTTAATTTTTTTTAATATGGGGCGGGAAGCGAGTTCTAATTCTCTGGCGGTGCCTCCCCAGAAAAAACTCCCCCACTTACGGAGCCTGGATCTGTTCAACTGCGAGGTGACAACGCTGATTAACTACCGCGAGAGCATCTTCGCGCTCCTCCCACAGCTGACGTACCTGGACGGCTTCGACACCAATGATAAGGAGGCCCCGGATTCGGATCCCGAAGGGGACGGGATGGAAGACGAATATGATGAAAATGGAGAAGGTAGGCCCGTGTGCCTTGGCGTTCTGGAGGGTTTGTGGTTGCCCTTACGTCGATGGAAGATCCCTGTGCAGTGAGGTTCGCCGTAGGTTTCTCCCCAGATCTCTGCCCCGTGCCGCATGCAAAAGCAGATTGGATGCATGTGGTTTCCCGTTGCATCTCTGGACCTGAGAAACGAAGTCTGGTGCTCGCTCGAGTTTTGCTCGATTCCTATGGGAAGGGTCAGTGCTCAGGGCAAGACCCTTTGCGGTGCAGATCCCACGAGGACCGGAAACTTGACTTTTAAAAAAAGGAACCCATAGAAGCATTTCCTCATTCTGCCTTGGCGTGTATGGAGGAAGTCCTTTCCCCCTTGCGGGTTGGGAAGGAATCATAAGAGGATCCCTGGGACCCAGGCCGTTGGCTGTTCTGGGCTGACGGAGATGCGTTTACAGATAGGATTTTTCTCTCTGCCTCTCCCCAATGCCAAATCCCCTTTTTGACTTTCGCGGTTTAGAAGGAGAGGAAGACGAGGATGACGAAGAGGAGGAACTGGACGAGGAGGAGGATGAAGATGAACTGGACGGCGAGGAAGAGGAAGACGGGGTTGACGATGAGGTGAGACCGGGCCGAGGGGGAGGAATCTATCTATGGATGGCAACAGAATTTTGTGAAATTCTTTTTGCCGGTTTAATCATCCACATTAAAAACCAAGCTGTGACAAGGGGGGAAAAAACCTTAACTCTGACCCTCAGCCCTTGAAGGTGGGAGGCAAAAGGCGGTTGAGGAAAGAATCCATTGTTTGGATGTTAAGTCGGGGTGTTGTTTTTTCAGGATGATGAAGACGAGGACGAGGGAGAAGATGAAGACGACGAGGAAGGTGGGTGTATTCCCATGAGCGATGGTGATGATGGTGCTCATAATTCTGTTTTTCCTGAGTATACATTTTTGAAAGGTAGGGGGCTTACCCCAGAAGGGTGGATCCTTTTAGCGGAGGGTTTCTGATGTCACGGCCCACCTGGTGCTGTTTTTTTCTAATCCTCCCAGTGCGCCTTTTGCTCCTGCAGGGGGTGATAGCGCTGTCCCGCCTGCAAGGGCCATTTTCCGGGTTTTGCATGTATAAACACACAACTCTTGGGAAGTTTTTCGGGACGTTTGAATGCCTGTCCCTATATTTCCCCAGACAATTTCTGTCAGGAATTCTAGTGCTAGCGCAGGCGACCTTCGCGATGGCTTAAAACGTTCGCCTGGAAGGCACTTCTGAGTCGCCTAGGGCGACTACTACCCCGCACCTTCTCTCTCTCTCTCCCAAAGAGAGACAAGATGGGTCATTTGTTCAGACAAGACGGGTTTCCTCTCTCTGAGCCTTTTTTGGGATGCTTATTTTAATTACAGTTTTCGTTGTATGGGTGTACAGTGGTGCTTCGCATAGCGATCACTCCATTTAGCGATGAAATCGCTTTGCGACACATTTTTTTCCATCGCAAAAGCGATCACTTTGCAATGTTCCCTATGGGGGAATTTCCCTTTGCGATGCTCGGTTCCCTGCTTCGGGAACCGAGCATCGCAAAGCGACAATTTTAAAACAGCTGATTGACGGTTTCAAAATGGTCGCCAGGTAAACAAAATGGCCTCCCGCTGTGTTTAGGGACAGATTCCTCGCTTAAGAGGCAGCGAAAATGGCCGCGCTATGAAGGATCTTCGCTGAACAGTGAGTTTTAAGCCCATAGGAACGCATTGAAGGGGTTTCAGTGCGTTTCTATTGGCTTTTTTATATCGCATAGCGACGTTTTTGTTCTGCAGTGACTTTTGCAGAATAAATTAACATCGCAATGCGAGGCACCACTGTATATACTTACAATGACGATCAATGTATTTATTGCATATTTGATTAGTACAATTCCATTTGCCCTGTTCCACCCCAGACCTTCAGCAAGGCGAGAAGAGGAAACGGGATCCGGAAGACGAGGGAGAGGATGACCCCGACGAAGAAGAGGATGAGGAGGATGATTGACAGGTCTTGCCGCCCCCACCCGCCTGTCCTCCGTTTGATGGACTGATTTCTCTAACATCCGAGGTTCCCCCTCCTGATCCCTCCCGTGAGACTCTAAAAAAGAAATCCCCATGACTGTTCCGCCCCAGCCTGCCCTGAACAAATCCATCCGATGATTCCCCCCCGCCCACACTCACC